TATATATTTTATTTATTTCTAGGAGAGAGAGAGAGACAGCGTGAGCAGGGGAGGGTCAGAGAGCGAGGGAGTCACAGACTGAAACAGGCTCCAGGCTCTGAGCTGGCAGTCAGCACAGAGCCCGACGCGGGGCCCGAACCCACGAACCGTGAGATCATGACCTAAGCGAAAGTCGGACGCTTAACCGACTAAGCCACCCAGGCGCCCCAATTTTGAAGTGAATTCTTAACTGTGACTCCCTTTTTCACATATCACTTCAGACTTTAGCCTGCTAAGTGTTGAGGATTGAAAATAGTGGGTTTGAGCAAAGAAATGGGTTTGAACTTTAGTGTTTTGGTTTTTCTTTTAACTTTCTATCTTCAACACCATTTAAAGTATGTATCTTGAATTGTTTCCTCAGGCTATCGGCATGTTGTTTATTCATTTAAAAAACACATGTATTGAGAATCTGCTATCGTGTGGCACCATCCAGGGTATTGCGATTTTATTGGTGAACAGACCAGGCTGGGCTGTTGCTGTCCCTGTGGAGCTGCGGTCTAATGACAGTGGCAGGGAAGGCAGTAGCACCCTCTACAGCTCCCAGCCAGCCCTGGAGGAAGAGGGTTAATCCAGTTGTGCAAGTGGTGACGCAGAAGTCCCGCTGCGGCATGAAGCTTTGGGAAATGAACCTTTGCTCTGGGGTAGGCTGAGAGGTCTCACGTGCCCTGCCATTGTTTGGTGTTTACTTCTTTACAAAAAAAGAAGAAAAAGTCCAGAGACCATAGAAAGGTATTTGATTTTTGCCATTTTAGTAAACTATGAATGCCTACTCGATGCTCATAAAGGTGAATCTAATCATGTTTTCATGTGTGTTCCTCAACTTTGTTTCACAGTATATTATTTTCTAAAGATTTTCTTCAAAAACGTTTAGATCAAGATTTACCAGTAGGAAAAAAACCCAAGACATTAAAAACCATTAATGTTGTAAATGTTATATATGCTATTTGTGAAAATATTTTTCTCAATCATGTTGTTACTCAGTATGGTTAGTTTTGCCTTATGGATGTTGACTCTACTAGCCTGTTTTTCAATACCCTTTTTAAGAAACAAAACAATCTTTTTTTGACACTAAGATTGTTCATTTTTAACACCAGTTGGTGGCACTAGAAACCTGAAATTTTTCAAGGCTCTGAGCAAGAGCAAATAATTGAAAACACATCCAAACATGAAGAATTTTCAGGAAAATAAAAATATAATTGTATATTAAAGATGTATTTTCTGGGATGAGTTCTTTTTTAACGCCTGTCCATTTTGATGACGATGATAAAACTTGTTTATCTTCCAAAAGTTCATATATACATATGTGTGTGTGTGCGTGCATTGTACAGATAAATCTTTAATTTGATTACACTGTTCATTTTGTAAATATGTTTCTGTATAAAATGAAGCTTTTCAAGAGAATTCTGTGTATATATTGTACTTATTAAATAGGTAATGCCTGTTTACTGAGTTGTATTTTATAGCATCTTTGATTATTTATTTACATACACCTCTTGCTAAACAGACTGATTCTCCAGACTGTTGGCAAGGCTGATTCAGATTGCTTGACTTTTCTTTTTTAAACTACACGAGGAAATTTTGCTTTCCACAATTGCCTTTATTATACCAATTATTATTAGAAGTCAATAGTAAACAGTTTAAACTGAATGCCAGGTTCTATTTTAAATTTGTGTTTAAATTATTGGTAGCAAAACTTGGCCTTTTTCAAAAGGCAGATTTTCACATGCCTGTCTTCACATAGACGTTTTCACATGCCTGTGTGAAAATTTCTCATTGGACTGGGTGAGCCAGTAATATCTTCACATTTTCCGCAAAACTATGTAACTTGCCCAAATTATCTAGCTTTCATAATAAAGATCTAATATGTTCAATAAAAAGATACTGAAATGGCATTAATTACTTGAAGTTCATGTGTGTGGCGGGTATTTCACCTCATACCGTGTTGTTTTCCGTTTCTCTAACAGTTCTGGTACACTTAGACTATGCCACGTGCCTTAGTGACTCCACCACTAGAAAGAACCCCCTGAAATCAGGATCCTTGGAATAAAGAGAAAATTAATAGCATAGAGGAAGCTTGCACGGTGTCCTCAATAGTCTGTGTTTTGATAGCCTAGGGGTTTGTTTGCAAGAGAAAGGAGCGTGTACACGGAGAGAGGGAACAAGGAAAAGAGATACTGGCTGGGGGGGAGGTGGTTGTTTTGTAGTTTCTTAACTGTCAGTTTGACCCTCAGTGAAGATATTGGAAAGACCATCCACTGAACTTCTATCCATGCTGGGGGTTTTTTCTTAATAGCTTGGCTCCAATCTGTGAATGTAGATTGAGTGCACACGTCTTTAGGACCAGAGGCTTCGATGCCTCTGGCTGACAGATGCCAGTGCTGCTTTAATGCTTCTCTCTGCAAACAATGTGACCAGACTTGCTCTATTCCTGCCCTGTAGAGATGCCCTATTAAGTCCTACATTATATTTAAGAGACTTGATCATATGTATGTGGTTTTTTAAAGCATGCATTTAAGAAGTATTCTATTTCTGAGGAATTTGCAGCCTTGTTTTACCTTTTGATTGCCCAGCAGCCATGCTGTTGGTTAGACTCTCTGCCCCTAATTGCACACACCAGAAAAGGAGGGGTTGGGGAGGCTGGATGTCATTATATTCCAGAGAAGAATCTCTACCATTAGCGTAT